TGGCCCTTCCTTTGCTCCCTCTCTAATACACACACATGCAGACTCACAAGAAGAGTAACCAGTCTGTATTTTCAACCATATTAAAGAAGTTACTTCCACTAAATCCTGTGGGTTTTTTTCTTTTAGAAAGTTGTGATTATCATTTAACCTGGTAAAGTCCAAGCAAGCTAATACTTGCCTTACCCTTGAGAAAGAATGGGAGAGTCCTTTTGATTTGAAGCTGCACTGAAAGTGGCAAGAATATACAAATTAGTGGCAAAAGTCTCGCAATTATTAATTCATGCTAGAAAATTATACTCGGGGAGTTGTGAAGGGAATCAGCTTAATTTGTCTGCCAAACCATCTTTGCGGCTGGGTTCAATGGAAGTCACATTGACTCCAGTGGAACTGAGGCCCAGATTTTTCAGGCATTTGCTAAAAATGCATGGAAAGGGAAATAAGGCTATGTATCCTAGACCTGCCTCTAATATCCTTGCCTCTATAGGCTGCACTTTACTGATTACTGACTAGCAAATGTTTATCTTATCTCTCTTCTTACAGCTGGAGCAGGATTAGATGATAAAGAATGAGATCATACTTACTTGCTTTCCTAGGTTCATCAGCAGGAGAAAGCAGGACTCGTTTCACTTTCACCACTTTCCATTCTTGACTTTGATCCTCCCTGTTGCTAATCCCAGAATCCATCACATCAGAAACAGGCCATAGAGAGTCTCGTATCTCATCTGACGCCAGCCTATTGTCATTGCTTTTGTGGGGGAGGACATTCCCATTGGCTCTCCAAGGCTCCTTCTGGAGATTTTCTCCAGCCGACTCTTTCCATTCTTGCTCTCCATGACTTCTATCATTTTCTGTTCCTTGCAGCCTTGCCAAATAGCTTTTGGCTTCTGCAGTGTCAACCTTGGACTTCTTAATAATGTGAGGATTTGGGTCGGCTCTGCTGGATATTGCACAGTTGGACTGAGGTTTCAGATAAGGTGGCAGTAAGGTTGTCTTTAGCATTTTGTCTCTTGTTAGATAATATTTGGTGCTTGATAGAGCTATTCCTCCTCGGAAGAAATTCCCTGCAATTTCCAAGCCTTTTTGGGGATTGCCTGGGAAGGCAGGCAAGCAAATTATGTCCAGAGCACTTCAGTGCTGTAAGCCTTCCACCAGCCTGACCACAAAACTCTTCAATGCAGGGATAGGGTAAGATAGCACCAAGAATGCATTTCTTCTTTCAAAAAGGAACTGTGGAATTGAAATGGTGGAAAACAGACTTATTTCTCTTTCTTTGTAGCATTTAATTGTTCAGATGAACAAAGGAAAGCTTCTGATAGAATTTTCCTTATCAAGTCTACGTACAAGGTAACTTCCAAATAAATGCATCTAATAAGAAACAAATAGATATACATGTTAATATATATAAACAAACATACTCCTTCCTTTTTCATAACAAAAGATGTGTCTACATTGTTTTACACAGCTACTCATATCTATGAATTTAAATTAGTATCTTAATAAATGAACAAGTGACCCAGTGGTGATTTTGCATTAAGGAAATTTTGCTGGTTTTCCTCTCCCACATCCATCCCTGCCCTCACATCCCTAAAGAGCTGATCAGGAAGATGGAAAACACTGCAGAACAGTACAGGATATACAACTCTCACAGCTGCAAATGTAAAGCTATGGGTGGTTTCTGTTACTGAAAAGTTGACTCTGATTTCAATCCATTTGAATGGATTGAGATTATTTTAGTAAGGGTTTAGTCTCATTGAGAACAATAGGGTTTAAATTCATCATGGTTGATTTGTCCTATTATTTCAGTAAAACTAAAGCACGACTAATTTAGTCTCAATCTAAATTACATTACATTTAAAAATATTAATGTATACACACATTCGTTTCAGAATTCCTGATTAGTTGGAAAATAAAAATTTGATAATTTGATATCTCAGAATTGTCATTAGAATTAGAGAAGCTTAGAATATTATTGTCTAGTGTTTCTATAATCATCTGGGTTAGCACTTTCTCAGTGATGGCACCTAATTCTTTGGCTTGTTACATTCCAACTACTTCAAGATTTAGTATAGAAGAACAGCAAAGCAAGAATGGACTGTTAAACACTGCACACATGACTTGTCTGTTTTTCCTCTGGGGACAGAGGTGGGGGAGAAGCAACCTCACCTGCCCACGTGCCTGAAGCAGTATGAATTCTACTCTGTCTACTGTATTTTGCTGGGTGGGACAGGAAGCATTTTAGATCTTTTATTGTGTCCCCAAAAAGACAAAAGTGAAGAACATTCAGATGTTCATGATAAGGTTATGTTTTAACTAAAGCCTTATCAATCTTTCACAGAATAGCTACAGTATACATGGAGTAAGTGCTTTGTACACTTACATGCACATGTAAAGTTTATATGGAATGATATCATATCTCTGGGATAAGTATGGCACCAAACTATATCATGTGGGAGTTGTCAAGTTACTTTAGGCTACAGATTAAGCCAGCCTTCTCCAATCAAGTACCTTTTGTTGACTGGGAATTCTGGGAATAGCAATTCCAATATCTTTGGGGGATGCTACATAAAAGAATTTGGGCTAAGGAAGATAAAGTGAGCATAGAACAGGTATTCAGATCAGTCTCTGCAGTAATGCAGTGATAACATTCTTTTACTGCAAATTGGAAAAAAATTTGCTTCTCCAAGACTTGTGGCATTTTTTTTCTAAGAAGAAAAAAAATTGATAAAGCACTCAGAGGACCTCTACTGATGACTCAAGTTCAATGCTAAATTCCATACATTCTGGAATGGTAGCCTTAATCTCCCTGAGCTGGGAGCTCCTTCTGTTTCTTTGACAAGTCACATCACTGGGCTTGTATTCAAAGAAGTTTGAGAGAGAAAGGAATCTGTCAGATGCCAGAAAAAAAGATGTGGCTGATCTGATAGAATGTACAAAGTCTGCCTAGCAGGAGATAAAGAATAGACAAAGCTAATAAAGCCAGTGCTAGCAAAAAAGGAAGTTAATGATTAAAGTCCTAGGTATCCTCTGAAAGCATGTTATCTAAATTAAGCTGGGCTTGTACTAGTATAGGTGGGAAATCACTTGGTGACCTTACATAACATAGATACAGAAAAAGATGGGATAGGGTAGTGCTCTTGAGTCATAACATCCTGTAATTTATTAATAATTTTAGCTAACTTTTAGCTAATATGCAATTTTTCTGAACATATTTGATCTCTAACCTTCTAAATAACCAGCAATTTTTATCAATTTCACTGCAAAACATAACATTGGCATATCCATTTTGTTTTGAAGTTTATCTTATTTAAAAAATATTTACAAAGTGCCCATAGCTTTTTGCTGTCAAACATATAAAAAGATTGTGTAGCAGAAGCTGCTTGTTTTAAAATGTCATCTGCTCAGGGTGAGCAGTGCCCAGTTGGCTCTTACTAGAAAAAATACTGATCTGTGACATTGGCAATATTCCAGCATGACAGTCCTGAATGGACAACTGTATGAATTGCATTTAGTATGGATCTCTTTAACATGGAATTACAGCCCTTAGCATGTCATGTGTGTGTGTTTTTGAGCCAGTTTTTGGAGACAGCCTGGACCATTCCTTGCAGTTTTCTTGGCAAGGTTTTTCAGAAGTGGCTTGCCACTACCTGCTTCCTAGGGCTGAGAGAAAGTGACTGGCTCAAGATCACCCAGCTGGCTTCGTGCCTAAGGTGGGAGTAGAACTCATGATCTCCCACTTTGTAGCCTAGTGCCTTAACCACTACACCAAACTGGCTGTCCCAAGCATGTCATGGCTCCATGAAAAATGATCTATGCATTTACCTGGGTTGACCATTCAATGGGGGACAACTTGTAGAATGTAACATTTTAAAAATTATATATTGTATTATGAATACCTTGAAAAGACTACAGTATAAACATAGAGCCAAAAGAGGTTTTTGTAAAGTCTTATTTGTACTAGTGAGTGATGTTCAATGCAAATACAAGCTTGGAGATGAGAGATATTAGTTTGCCTATTAACATCACCTTGTCACCAAAGAAATGTATTTATTCATTAAATGTTCCATCTTTCCTCTGCACTGTTAAATGATCCCAGGGTGGTCACATATTTGTACAATCATTCTAAAATCCAGCACAAACCACAATGATTGGTCAATGTAAAAATAAACAAACCAAAGCTGCTTTTCAACTATCCCAGCGCTGTTGCCTGGGCCCTATGCTTAATTCAAGGCCTCTCTGTATTCCACAGTTTTCCATTTGAAATTTGAACAAACATCGCACAGATGTTTGCCCAGCAGGGATTTCTTCATCTGATTTAAAGCCTGCAGGAAATTTGTTAGTGTTGAGGAACTCCAGTTTTCATCTTCAAGCTGCAGACTAGGCATCTTGATCTACTCATAAATGCTCACCCTAGCTTCTGTAACAGTGCTGTTCTATAGCCCAGAAAGTCTTTCCGAAGCATTAGACTTCCTTCCCATATTGCACATCTGCAATGACAAGGAACAGTTGCAGATCTTCAATCATATCCCCACTTGTATCTAACCCTGGCACCCTGGAACAGTCTTTTTCTGCATGACATTGCCTTCATCTTGTTCCCAGCCCATGAATGAAACAGGCTTAAGCTGTTCTTAGTTGTAGCAGTATTAAAGTAGCATTTTCCTCTTATTTTGATGCTATACAAGTGCAATCTTAAGACATGAAAATTGTGTTAGGGTTTGTTACCCATTGCTCTAGAGAGAAATCAGGTAACTGGCAGTGATTGGGAACAGACATCTTAGAGGAAGGATGGGGATTTACAATGAGGACAGCGTAGTTCATGCCAAGATAGTTTTCTGCCAACTCAACTTTGCTGATCTTTTCACTAGCCAAGCAGCCTTCCTGAGGTTTGAAATGGAGAAGCAGAAGGGCTCCCCCAAAGTCATTCATCTGAATTGCATGTCCATAACAGAAGGAGAAGGAGAAGGAGAAGGAGAAGGAGAAGGAGAAGGAGAAGGAGAAGGAGAAGGAGAAGGAGAAGGAGAAGGAGAAGGAGAAGGAGAAGGAAGGTTGGCTGATCTCTCATTTTCCAAACAAAGAATCCCATAGAATAAACCCAATGGCAAAAGGCAATTTATGCCTCATGAACTTGCCTGATCACAGAGATTAAATTGGAAGTCTTCTTCTCTGGCTTTCTTTCTGCCACTTAATGTCCTGCATGACTATGTTGCAAGAAGAAAAATGATGTCAAGGGATATATAGTCATGCATCTGACCTGTTGAGTATATGTAGGACATAAAGTGGCTGCCATATGTCAACTGAAGTGTCATCTATTCCTCTGTATTATTTATTTATTATACTGATACTCCAGTATTCCTCTAAGGAGTTCAAAATGTCACCTTCATTTTATCCTGGCAACTATAACCTTGTTGCCAATAACCCTATTGCCAATAATGATAACAAGAAAGTGAGTGGCCAAAAGGCCTCAGTGAACTCCATTGGACTTGTGAACCCGGGTCTTCCTAATTCCAGCCCAACGTTTGAATAATTCCCTCTCTGGTCCCAGATTAATCACAGCACCTGGAAATCCCTATTAAAGCCAGATTTAGTAATACCTGTGAGATTAGCTAACATGCATTTGCTTTGGCTTCTGAAATAGCACCTCTCCTTTAAAAAGGTTCTGTAGGCAAAGTTCTAAAGCATCATCTCTGGACTGATGGCTCCACAGCTCTCTGCTAATAGTTTGACATGGAATAAGCAACTTTTCAGGTTAGTGGGTGCCTAGGAACTTTGAGAGCATGTCACAGTGGTCTTCAAATTGGCTGCCATGGGAGAGATTTCTTTTATGAAAGGTAAGCATAACCATTTAGTAGAAGGCAAACTGTCTTTCTCTCTTTTTCTGCTCCCAAGGTGCTCCTTGCTACCTCAGCTTATGGTTGTCTTTGTTCCTGGGAGGCGTGTGTGTGTGTCTGTGTGTGTGTGTGACACTACTTAGCAAAGAACTAGGCTGCATCCACCTACCATTTTTATTTTTAAGGACGCATACCCTGGAGGCCAGAATTCTGGTAAATGAAAATGTTGTTAGAATCTGGTATTTTGCTTTGTGTTATGCCAGCTTCCCACCTAGAAATCCATAGAAACAAGTAAGGCAAGGAGCCAAAGCAAGTATCTGGGGAGTACAGTGGTGCCTGCAGGCGCTGAACTAACTCTATGTTAGCAGAACTGCAACAAGGACCTCAGGGGCACTTTCCTTGCAGAGAGTTGCAGGGCAAATAAATACATCCTTCTCTAATATCCTGAGATATTGCATATTCATATTGCATTATATATGGGTAAAGAATGAATAGAACCTCTTCCAAAAGGAATAGGGAAGATAACTTTTCACCTCCTAC